CCCCTCTCCCACCCTCATTCCCCCCTCCCACTGCCCCAGCTCTCACTCCCCCTCCCACTCCTACTCCTCCTCCCCTCCTGTCCCACCCTCCACACCTACTAAACAGGTGTTTTTATTTTACATTAGGAAGGGGGGTTAAGGAGGGGAAAGGGGAAGGAGGTGAAGGTGTAAGAAGGCCCCAGTGGGGCTTGCCAGGGAGAGTTCAGTCCTCATCCACCTGGAAGCTCTCCTGCAGGGCTTCCCAGATCTGGATGGCCACCCGCTGGGCCTCCTAGTCAGCATCGGTGCGGTGCTGCATGTACAGGCTAGCCAAGTGTTCCGCCTCAGACATCCAGGCTGGCAGGAAACCTCCCCCTTCCTCTCACATAAATTGTGCAGCACACAACATGCTGCCACCACAGGAGGAATATTGTGCTCGGCAAGGTCGAGGCGGGTGAGGAGGCATCTGAAGCGGGCTTTCAGGCATCCGAAGGCCCCCTCCACCACAATGCAGGCCCTGGTGAGCCTGGCATTGAAGGCCTACTGGGAAGGGTTGTGGTGTCCTGTGTATGGCTTCATCAGCCAGGGGGTAGGCGCGTCCCCCACCAGGCACACTGGCATGTCCACGTCCCCAACCCTGATGTGGCAGTTGAGGAAGAAGGTCCCGGCGTGCAGCCTCTGGCACACGGAGGAGTTGCAGAACACCCGTGCGTCGTGTGCCTTGCCAGACCAACCCACATTAATGTCCGTGAACTGGCCTCGGCGGTCAGACATGGCCTGCAGGAGCACAGAGAAGTAGCCCTTCCTGTTGATATACAGAGAGGCTTGGTGTTCCGGGGCATGGATGGGGATGAGCGTCCCTTCGATCGCCCCTCCCCCTCAGCTGGGGAAGCCGAGGGCGCTGAACCCCTGGATAACCACGTCCAGGTCAGTGAGGTGGACAACCCTGTGGAGCAGCACTCTGTTGATGGCCTTGACTACCTGCAGAGAGAGACACAAAACCAAGAATCACTGGGGTGCTTGGGTGGCTGGGAGTGTTCATTCCCTGGCACTGCCCTACGCCCCACTCCCAGAAGCAACCCCCGCTGCAATCCTGGCCACTGCGGGCGGTGTGTAGTACAGCCGGGACAGACCAACCCCTCCCATGCAGGGCACTTTTGCCTCCTCCCCCGTTTTCTCTAGGGCAGCCCATTCCCTCCTTGCAGCCCCCCCTTCCACCACCGGCCCAGTGGCCGGTGAGTGCCATACCTGCCTGAGCACGGCTCCGACGGTGGATTTCCCCACGCTGAACTGGTTCCCGACGAATTGGTAGCTGTCCGGTGTGAAGAGCTTTCATAGGGTGATGGCCACCTGCTTGTGGAGGGGAATGGTGGGCCTCATGCAAGTGTCCCGTCGCCACAGAGCAGGGGCAAGCCACTCACAGAGCTCCAGGAAGGTGTCCTTCATCCTGAAGTTCTGGGTCCACTGTTGTTCTCCCCAGCGCTCCAGGACGATGCGGTCCCACCAGTCGCTGCTGGTGTCCAGATGCGGCGGGGCACGCTGGTATCCGGACACTGCTGCGGCACCTCCATGGCCCCCAGGGAGGCCAGGGGGAAGGGCAGGGGGCTGATGTGCACCAGATGGTGCCAGGCAGCCTCCAGCCATTGCTGCCAGGCTTGCAGCAACAAATCTAAAAACTGCTCCAGAATGCCCAGGGGCAGCTCTGGCTCCATGGTGCCACCTGCTGCGGTATCCCCAATGAAAACAACCAAACAGGCAAGCAGAGAGGAAAACGCTTTGCTGTCCCTCAGCGAGGTAGGCAAGCAAGCAGAAAAGCTTTCAGGGGGGTCCCTTTAAGCACGAGCCTCAGATAGCATCCACACAAAGCAACTACTGACCTGATGCCCCGCTGGAACCGGTTTCAGCTGGCCTTAAATGCAACCCAGCATCCAATCAGTGTGGACGCGCTAATTCGAATTAGCGAAATGCTAATTCAAATTAGTTTTTGGGTCTAGATACGTTATTTTGAATTAGTTTATTACAAATTAACTAATTCGAAATAAGTTAATTCGAAATAATGCTGTAGTGTAGGCATACCCTATTAGTGCTATCTTTTAGATGGGTAAAAAAAAAGCCTTGCCTACACTGGCACAATTTGTCACCAAAAACTGCCTTTTGTTGTCAAAATAGAGACAGCTTACACACTACATGAAACTTTTGTCAAGAAAAACACCCAGTTTTGGCAACAAAAAACTTCCACCTCTTTTTCTCTCCCTTTATTGTCGACAAAGAGCCACTCTGGACTCTTGTTTGTTTGGTCGAGAGAAATGGCTTCCACCAGTATCCCACTATGTCTGCTCGTATGGCTCTGTTCAGTGTTTTGTGATTTCTGTTGCCATGCAGGAATGTTCCCCTCCCCTTTCAAAGCTCCAGGAAGTGTCTAACAGCTGAGTGAGCTGCTTGGTTTGGGGGGGAAAAAAACCAAATCATTAGAATGCTTCTGTTCTGCCCTGCACTAGAAACATAGTGGCAGGCAGACCGCTGCTACAGGGAGAGAGCTGGAGAGACTGCTGTGCTGCTTTGACATTCCTCAACATGGAAAGCTCACGGAGCTAGGAAGGAATCCCAAGAAGCACAGAAAACCCCTCTTGACTTCTTACAAAACTGCACTGTGGGATGCTTACACATATTGCTTTGCGTTTATCTGTTATCAGGGTTCTAGCAATGCAGCCATGAAACGTCAACAATAGCAGGCAAAAAAAAAAAAATTGTTTGACCGGTTTTCATTTTTGGCGATTTTTGCATGTCAACAGCACCTTTGTCACCAAACCTCAGTGTATACAACAGCCTAAAAGAGGTTAAGTCAGTTATCTAAGGTCACATGGCAAAACAGAAGCAAAGGCAGGCACAAAATTTCAGATACCAAGTCTGATTTCAAATCTTTAGAAAAATACCCTCTTTAACATTTAATATTGTATGTCATTAATGCAGACAAATGAACCAAATCATAGAAAATGAAATGCCTGTAAACGTATACTGATGCTTCATTCCCAACTCCTCAATAATTATAAAATAGAAAAGAATATTCAAAAAGAAAGCTGCACTTCGTTTACCCTAGTTATCAGCATTATCATGTTAGGAACTCAGTCATGTCTGTACCTGAAAACCTGCTAGCTGAGCAACAGACTTCCCCTGAAGGCACAGAGTATGAGCCACAAACGCATTCAAGTCCTCCAGAGAGAGACTGTCCACCTGAAACAGATTTAAAAAAAAAAAAAATCTGAGCTATGGAACAAAAACCTTTCTGCAAATTTGCCTTTATCAGCAGTGTAAACACACACAAGCAAAATGAGTAGAGTAGTAGTAAAGTAAAGTAGTAAACTATGAATGTAGATAATGAAAAAGAATATACAGTTAAATTCACAACTCCATGTGTGTAGCTTTGTATTAATTCCATTTTTACCAACTTTACCCAACAGTTAGCATTTACATTATTGCTCTTCTTTTTCTTTTAGGACCTTTGTAACTAATAGGACAGGACACTTACCAGAAGTATAAAATATTTTTACATTTAAAAAAAAAATCATTCTACCACTAGGATCCCAAAATGAAGACTAATTAAGCTAGCCATAGTTGATGGATATTATGATTTATCTCTAGTACAAATGCTCTACTAACCATTAGGGATGTAACAGTGTAGTCAACTAAATGATTAGCTGATACACGGGTGCTTATCCATTAACGTTATCAACTATATGTAACACTCCTCCACCCTCCATGCATGTTAGCGGGCTGGCTGACAGGCTGGGTCAGTCCTGACACACGCCAGGACCCAGCATCAACCCCTGTATTGGCTCTTAGTGTTTGTAGTGCAGAGTCGCAGTGGGGATAGTTGCTGGCCAGCCCACCCACGCACTGATTCTTAGTGCCAGGACCAAGCATCAACCCTTGCTGCAGCTCTGCAGTACAAGTACATGTAGTGCAGAGCCACAGTGGGGGTAGTTGCTAAACCCATCAGGAGCCAGGACTGAGTGGTAGCAATGATTCCCCTTAACGATTAATCAAACTACAAAATTTGTCAACTACACAATTAGCGAATTACACACTTAACATCCCTACTGAACCTCAGTAGAAAGATATACAATTGTAGCTACACAATCAAAAAAGGGGTGCATCAGTACAAATGAGAACACAAATTTCTTAAAGTAATTTTTCAGATTGGATTAATTCTTGGTTGGTTGGATTTTGTTTGTTGTTTTATGTGGGGAAGGGAGGGCAGGGTTGGATTTTTTTAATGTATTTACTTATTTTGAGGAAGGAATTTAAACTTGAAGAAAATTGGGAGGAAAAAAAATCACACTCTTTTATGAAGACAAAAAACAATGAACCTTAGAGACTAATCAAAAAATATAGATGGCATCATGAGCTTTCGTGGGCCTTGCCCACTTCTTCAGATGAATGGAGTAAGAGGTTCAGGGGTACAAATATCACAGGGAGGGGGGGGGGGGGGGAGAAACCCTGTTAATCAAAGTGCCCATGCTAAATGAGGCTAATAAGTGCCCAATACTTAGCTTTTGATGTCTTTGTTCAATCCTTGGGTGAATGTGTCAAATTTGCATATGAAGGCCAATTCCAGACTTTCTATAGATGATTCCTGAAATTACTTTGTAAGAGAGTAGCCCTTTTAAAACCATTAATAAGTGCCTGAGCAAGTTAAAATGTTTCCCAACAGGTTTTTAATGTCCATTCATCCTTTGTAGTAGAGACTTTGTATTGGTCCAGTTTGGCTAATATACATGGTAGAGGGGCATGGCTGGAACTGGATGTCATATATCACATTAGTGGATGTGCAGTTGTATGAGGTTATATGGTTTGGTCCAGAAATGTCGTCACTTGTGTAGATGTCTAGACAGAATTGGCACCTGAGTTTATTGCAGGGGTGGGTTCATGGGTGAGAACGATTGAGGAGTGAAGAGCAACCCAAGTGACAGAGGAAAACTGAGTTTTGTCAAGTTGTCGTCTTAAGATATTTCTATAAGCAGAGGAGAGGAAGGAGATGGTCTGACTCCCTGAAATCCATGGGTCTCTGGGATCTGAGAGAGACAAAGGGCCAGCAAGTGCTCTCCCTTTGCTTTTTCTGTAGCATGGAGCCAACTAACTTATGATCTCCTACTTCCCCCCTCAAAAGACTGCACACTTAATCTGTACATATATGACAATGTTAATATTTACTCATATAGCTCAGATTGTATTAATGTTTTGAGTTACACCGTACATAGCACATGATTTTCCTTCAGAGTATATGTGCTTACCAGCTGGATATAGAAGGAAATTTTTTTATGAACATATGGAATCTGCACTGTCAGTGAAAATGTGCTTTGTAGAAGTAACAATCAGGTACAGTTAAGAGCTGTGCCATAATTTAGCATGTCCTTGCTTTTAGGAGTTTTCTTTTGTGGAAGTGGGGGATATTACACTTATCCAACAATGATCCCTTTTATACAATGATCCTTTTATACAGAGTTTGTTTATGGAATTAACACTTCTATTAAATTTCAGAGAAAAGTGGAAGAGGGGAAAAAAGGTAGAGTAGGTCAATAGGAAAGAACCAGAAAGCAGGAGAAACACAGAGAGAAGCCATCTACTGTAACTTCCTTTACTATTCCCAGAGGATAAAAAACATTTCATTCACCCACACTAGATAAAAATGACACCACGGAAAAACTCCCATTGATTGGAAGGCCTTTTAAACCTTGCACGAGGAAGCAGGACAGTTTAATAGATACCAGCCTAGTGTAACACTGAAAAATATTCCTGCCATTCATTAACTCTTTACAAGCTTAAGTTATTGATTGGCTGCTAAAAGCTGATAATACTCTGATAATACTCTGAAAACTGGATTTTCCCACAAGTTATATGGTATTAGTATTTTTGTCTTCTCATGTTTCTATGGAAGTGACTTCATTTGAGACCATAATGGTCATCTCATTTCACCCTCACAATTGTCACTGGGGCATTAAATGCACTGGATAAGGTTCACCATATGCTAGAACATAAGAACCTTGGGTTGATGTGGTTTGGTCTGTGGAGAGCTTTTTTTCTGATGAATATGGAAAGGTCAGGGGCTGTTTGAAAGCTAAAGGAGGAGATTTGAGAAAAAAAATTCAGTATGTGGTTCCCACAGAGCATGGGTATTAACCGTTTAATGATACTCCATATAAGTTCCAATGTGAGGAGATAAGGGACAAGGGGCATTCAGTCACAGGGCTCCCTTCGTATACTGAAGAAAGCTCTCTTGTGGTATTTGACTGAACCATTAAACTGTTGATTTACGTAGAGAAGCTTCAATTTTAAGAAAAAGAATTTATCATTCTTTAAAACAGCCTTCTTAAAGTTTTCATTAAATATATGACAAATATTTATTAAGAAAGCCAGCCAGCCAATTTATATGCTGGTTATTAGAAAAGTTAGTTACAAGCACAAAAGCACACGTGACCATTAACAATTTCCTTCTGTTGCCTTTCTTGCTGCAAGTACTGGAGAAATATAGTTGGGAAACTGGTGTCTTTGTCTCATTAAAATTAACTTTCAAATATAAACTTAAAAAACTGCTAAGCAGTGTATGCTTTAAATCATATAGAACATATAGGTCAGGGTATTAGGCTGAAACCTTCTAGATGCAGATCCATGTTATCCCAGTGAGAGCAGAAGGCGATAGATAATGGCAAAACTTTCACTGGATGGAGAGATACCAGGGCCGTTAACACTATAGCTAAATTCCACATTGTGAAACTCCATCAAAGGCTTACAGGGTGCCAAATTTGGGTGAAAGTTCCCAGTACAAAAGTCATGCTACCTGCAGCACAGATTGCTGAACAGACCTGGAAGAATCACAAATGTTGGTTGTACATGTTTTAGCAGACATTCCACTTCTTTGATTTTGGGAAGGATATTTTAGATTTAAAAGCAGGAGTGAATCAGACTCACTTAGCTCCAAACATCCAAGGGACTGCGTTAGATGTGAAAGTAAGCAGCTGCGCCCTGGTGTGTAGCTCTGGCAAGAGCTAGCTGAACTGTGGCAAAAGCCAGCAGGGAGCTGTTTAAAATATGGCAGGGAATCAGGCTGAAATAGGACAGTACCTGTAAGCAGGGCCGGCCCGAGCCATTTTGGTGCCCCAGGCCCCAAGCGCGCAGCGCCTCTCCCAGGGCGCACGGCCCTGCCTCCGGGCACACGGCGCATGCACGGGCCCGCCCCTGGGGCACACGGCCCCACCTCTGGGCGCACGGCGCATGCCCAGCCCCGGGGTGCATGGGCGGACGCACGGCGCATGCACTGCCCAGTCAGCCCAGACACCACTGATGGCACGCACCCCGGGGCCGCCCCGGGAAGGCTGCGCCTGGCCATGCAGGGCCCTGCGACCGTGGGGGGAAGGGCGCTGCTGACTGGTGTTGCGGGGGTTAACATGGCTCCCACCCTGGGCGGCCGCTGCAGCCCGACGGGAGCCAGGCACCCCCCATAGGTTGGTGCCCTGGGCAGCTGCCCGGCTAGCCCATCACTGAATCTGGCACTGCCTATAAGAAATGATGTTAGTTGTATCACCGCTGGTGTTAGCCAAAATGCAAATGGAATAGCTGGCAGGGAGAAGGGGTTTGTATCCTCCACCTAGTATCAGAGGAAACACTGAAGATGCAGATACCTCTCCAGCATATGCCACCATATACCTGGAGGTGTAGGAAGGAAGGGAGGAATTTAGAAAACCTCTTCCTCCAGAGGAGCAAGGAATCCTGGACTTGAAGGAAAACTCTGCACTATGGCTACGCATAGACTACATCCCTCTTTCGAAAGAGGGATGTAAATTAGACATATCAAAATTGCAAATGAAGCTGGGATTTGAATTTCCTACGCTTCATTTGCATAATCAGGTCACGGCTTTTTTCAAAAAATGCTATTTCAAAAGTGAAACCGCGGTGTAGACGCAGTTCTTTCAAAAAGAAAAGCTTTTTTCAAAAGATCCTGTACTCTCTGCTCACCCTTATCAATGAACTAAAGGCAACACGCAGCATGCAGAAGGTCTCTGGCTAAAAGTGAGACCACAGAGGCAAATGCAGTGCACTGCAAAATCTATGATACCCATCCAGTGGTGTAAAATACCCACGTAAAGTGAACTTAGGAAATGGTAAAACTAACTACAGCCAGGAGAAGTGTGCAATCTATGACTGCCTGATGGTATGTGAAAATGTAAAGAATACAGAATCTGGTGTGGGGCTGGAAGGGGGAGGGGGAAACTGCTGTCCATCTTGACTCAGTGTGTGAGGATCTAAAGGCCAATGCAACTAGGTGGGACATCAATATTATTTCTTTCTTCTCCTAGCAGCTGAGATCAGGCCAAAGGAATTCCCAGGTCTTGTCCTCCGAGGAGGTGAAGCATGGAAAGGGGGAATGTCTGAAAAATCTCACTTGCCTGAGTGAACTCTCAGCTGTTAAAAACAGTGCTTAGTTGAGAGCTGCTTCACTGGGAGCCAGTCCTGCTTTATTTCTCCCGTTTATCCAACGAGCTGTGTCCTGGAATACTACAAAGGGGGAAGGAGAACTTCCATCCACCACCAGGTCAGCCACTTTTGTTCTACCCTTAGAGGGACAAAGGGTCATCACATGCACTCGCTAGAAACCAGAGAGGAGGTGGCAGTGAGAGGACCAGGTCTCGTGACCACACCCAAAGGTTTTGGGGTAACAGAGGTAAAAAGGTGTGTGAGAGTTCCACCTACACAATCGCCTCCTAGCTTCCAAAGAAAGTCAGTAGATGTAAAGACTGTTAAATGAGTTTATGGATTTATGAATGTATACTAGTTTGTTAATTATATGAATAGTTGAAAAACTGAATTAGGCAAGGTAATGGCAGACACACCATCTGAGAAATAAGCCCATGTGTTTCCCCTAGGAGCCTGGTCAAACAGTCCTGTTACATTAGAACAGACATACTAGGTGAAACCAAAGGTTCATCAAGCCCAGTATCCTGTCTTCCAACAGTGGCCAGTACCAGTAGCGTCAGGCATAGGAGGAAAAAAAAATCGCAAGATTACCATTTTAGTTTGTTATTTTTCGTTAGGATGAGCAAAGGTCTTTTGCCAGAGGTGTTCAAAAACTCAGATGAAAAATTTAGGAAACTTAATATTTCCTCAGATAGGAGTTAACTGGAATAATAAAAAATAGTTTAATATAGTACTGTTGATGTTATCAATTATACTTGTGCTAAAGATCAAGAGATAAACCATGACATTTTTAGTAAAGAGCCACTGAAAATCAATTCCAGGTGTGAGCTGCAAGAGCTGGCTACAGAGCAACCATTCACTTTACCTGCAGGGTAAGGTAAATCAGTAGGCAGCAGACAGCTGCAACAGGTGCATCCAGCAACTGGAACTCCCCCACCATGTCCTGAAGATGAAAGCATGCCAGAAACGTGTTATACTGTAATGTTTTCACCTCTGATCCTTTCGTGAGCCACAATGTTCTCAAACTAGGTGTTCCACCTACAAAAGAAATCTATTATTTTATCTTTGCAATCGGGATATAAGACAAGCTTTGTCTATTAAACCATACCAGTGGTTGTCAATCTATTTAGACACATTATACATCTCTGTTATGTGGGCCACATTCACACAATATACATACTACCCATATGGTCCTGAAAATGTCACATAGGCTGCAGCTGTTTGCTGATTGGAACACAAAGCAGCCCATGGGCTGAGAACCACTGAATTAAACTTTAAGAGGAAACACCTGTTCTTGCTCTTTAAGTTTGCAAGGACAAAAATGTGAAAAATAGCTTAATTCACATTTGTACACAAATGTGATTCCTATCAAACCCATGTTTCAAGTTAATGCTGACCTTGCTTTGAACATGTGTATGATAGGAATCACATATCCCCCAGGAGGTGATTCATCCTTAGGAATCATGAATATACCCCTCCCTGGGTCAGTACCTACTTTTAGGAATGACACTGGGATTCCCCTGGTTGCAGGTAACTTCTGCCATGGCAACTACTCTTGAGCATTCCACTAATATCAGCCCCCTGTATTAGGTCCAGTGGCATAGTCCAGAGCTAAATCAAATCCACCGAGGTTTGTTTATTTATTCCTAGACTACTGTATGATAATGTCACTATTAATAAAACATGTGTTATGAGACCAATTATATATCATGTTATACTAATGTCAGTATTTTTAGTGGACTCTTCAGTATGGTAACTTGGGAGATTCACAAAGTTAGTTAGGCACCTAACTCCTATTATTTTAAATAGAACTTTGGAGCTCCGCACTTACATTACATTTAACCCGCTGTCCAAATAAATAATCTTGGAAGCAAAATACCAGGTGGATATGTAGACAGCTGCACCAAAGAATCCCAATTAAAGATACACACCTACTGTAAAGCAATTTTGCTTTTGTTTATTCATCAACAGAGAGGTGCTAGTTTTAAGACTGGACAGATAAAGCTACATTTGGTAACTCATCTTCCTTTATGATGAGCAGCAGCTGCATTCTACAATTAGGGCCACTTGGCAACAATAAGTGATTAAAGTGTCAAGGTGCTGAGATCTAGATGGCTGACATGTTTATTTAGAAAAGAAAGCCATTAACCAAATGGTACTGTGCCTAGGGGTTGGGGGACAGAGAGGGGAGAGAAGAGAAAGAAGCTAAAAAGCAAATTCTTAAATATTTTCCTTCCTCACCCTTTAGAATGTTTATTTTAATATTCTCAAAACTATGGTTCTCAACAGGGGTCAATCACAGGAACAAGAATTGTTCATACAATCCTGACAAAGCTCTTTGCTTTTACTGCACCAAATAAATAGTGATTTTCAATCTATCACTTTATAGAAAAAAAATTATGTATATTCTTCAGGAAAATATTAATAGTTTGACATCACTTATTTATGCTAAAATTACAGACTAATACTACTGCAGACAACAAAAGTGATAGTGTCACTCTATACACTACTGCTTAGACCTAGAATATTGACTTAAATTCTGGGAAATGCTACATTAGAAAAAAATGACAAATTGGAGAAAATTCAGAGAAAAAAAATTATGTATATTCTTCAGGAAAATATTAATAGTTTGACATCACTTATTTATGCTAAAATTACAGACTAATACTACTGCAGACAACAAAAGTGATAGTGTCACTCTATACACTACTGCTTAGACCTAGAATATTGACTTAAATTCTGGGAAATGCTACATTAGAAAAAAATGACAAATTGGAGAAAATTCAGACTTAGAAATTAAAGATGAAATAGTTATGCACCTGCCCTCTAGATAGGCAGATTCTATTAACTGACTCTTGGAGTTTAGTGTAAGTAATTTCTTTCATCTTTAATTTCTAAGATTTTATAAGTAAATTTTATTTCAAGAATGTAGATAATAATTTCTCTATATTCAAAACAATATTGCTTAATAACTGAAGTAATAATGGAAATCATGTGAGACTGAAATGAAGATTCAAGGACTGACTCCTCCACAATTCACCCCTTGAACAAGTACAGTGTGCAAATATACTGAAAATCTCAGCAGAAAAATCAGCAGTCTTTCACTAACAAAATGCACTTGCGCAGTGGGAAGAAGAGGGACTTGTGAGTTAAGTTATCTGTACTTGTAAAGGAAACAATTATATCTCTTAATTGAACTTACCAACCAACAATACTTCCATTCAAGGATATCCAAACATTTTACAAGCAATTAAACACTCAAAGTAGTTAATTATATAACCCTCATCTGATACACAGGTAAACTGAAATGAAGCAAAATTTAATGACTTGCCTAAGAGTTTAACTTAATAAACTATCCAACAGTTTATGGCAAATCCAAGATTAGAAGAAGTCATGATTTCCAGTTCTTTGTTCTAACCACTGGATTATATTGCGCCTCTGCTAGATTTTACAGTAATTATTATACATTGAGAGGAGAGACATTTACTTGTATATGGAAAAAAATATTTCTTCTAATGCTTCTGTATGTTCTTAAGGCTTATCTACACAGTGCCATAGTCTGAACTACAAGTATTAACTGAAGTGCACTATTATATACTGTAATCCAACTGCCCCATGTAGACTGTGCTAGTGAGAACTAAAAGGTACCTAATTTGTTGTGATGTAGTCTTGTTTCAAAAAAGACTACATTAATGTGCATGAGGTACCTTTTAGTCTGACCCACCAGGATCTACCCAGGGCACTTACGGTGCGTCTACACAGCACCTGAAATTCAAAATAAGATATAAAATTTGTGCTACGCAAATTGCATTGTTTATTTCGAGTCTATTTTTAAATAGGCTATTTCAAAATTTGGTGCTGTCTACACAGCGCCAAATTTTGAAATAAAGCACTGTTTTGAGCTATCCCTTATTCCTCGTAGAATAGCGGATGCATTCAAAAGACGCAGAGTAGATATTTCGGGATACCTCCAGTATCCCAAAATAGTATTGCAATGTAGACATACCCTTAGAGCACAACATATTAGAAATAGGACTACATCAAGACAAGCTTTGTAACTTTTAGTTTGCATCAACAGGATCCAAATTGGATAATTAGAGTTCAACATATTAGAAGCTCTACAATTCATACTCCTGTCATTTAGACTGCAGTGCTATGTAGAAAAATCCTTTGATTCACTTTTCAAAAAGTTAAAAAAACAAAATGGAATAAAATTCATAATTGCTGCCTGCCCAGTTGATACTAGAAGGATTATTCAAGGGAAAATTAACTGTCCTGAAATTTAACTACTACAAATGTATGTGAATCCAAGAATGGTGCCCTATAATTTGATATTACTTTTGTCGCTTTCAGTTTTCCTCTATTATGCAATATATGTGTGAAGGACTGACTTCAGGAATACTCATGCTTATAATCTTTATGCATTCTTAGAGTGAGAATATGACCAAGATGAGCGGCCTGGTCACCACAGGTATACAAATTGATACTTTTCTAACAAAGATACTTTCTAGTCAACAAGTGAAAAGGTCACTAATCAAATTTACGTGCTAGAATAAATGTTCTCTCTAAAATTTGACGGTGTATGAAGTACAGTATTCCTGAAAACATCACATACATGGCAAGTCTTTATTTTGGTTGGCTGAGTTTCAATAATTGATTTATAACAAGCAAGCAATGCATTCAGATACAAACTGGTGGAATGTATTAACACCTCAGTGTCATTAAGCTTTAGGTTTACACAAAGGTGTTGTATAAATTTGCACCAACCTAAGTCACGTCACCACATGGTACATGCACTGCTTGTGTGACATAAAAGCAGCACAGTTTACAATAAAAAAAATACAGCCTCTCAACCAGAAGCAATAAATAATGAGTTGAAATGTGTGAATGAGCAAATGATAAAACAAATGCTTGTAACTATTTTGCATGTATATGAAAAAAACGACAAAAAGGGTTTTAGAAGACTCAGCTTATCAAGAATGTTTAACATTAACATATCAATCATTTTGGCTACTTTTAAAAGGTTTACTACTGCAAGCCAGAATAGTGGTTAAATTTGACTCTTCAGAATAAGTGAGTTGCCTTCTTCTAAAGCCAAGTATATCCATTACATACATTTGTATTAACTAATTTTTGAAAGTACAACCAGACTCCTCCAATATGAAGTGCCTTTGATTTAAATTCACCAACAGTATCTGAAACACTTTTGTCAACAAAGTGAAAAGCAGCATCAGAATATTTGTGACAGCTGAGACTGCAAAGTATCTTTTAAAATCAGTAGCAAACTACAGACCATTAATCTCCTTTAGAAAAGCTTCATCAGCTTCTTGTTTGCTAGATTACTTCTAGAAGCCAGAACATATAAAATGAAACATATATGTATTCCCTTATATAGATCATCATCAATAGCATATGAAATGCACAAGATAGAATTAATACTTATTAAGCTAATTGCCATCTTTGATCAACCATTCATTTAAAGAAAACAAAACAGTCATCTAAGCTTAACATTTAATTTTGGTCTTTTAAGATGACTGAAAGAGAAGGGAAAAATCCATCACCTAGTCATTCAAATGGAAGGGGACACTCAAATGTCAGATGGGACTCTTTCAGAGGCCTGGGTATATAAGGATATGTTTGTATACATGCACACAAACACTATCTTAAATTATTGTCCTTGGAACCTTAACATTAGTTCTTGTATAACCTAATATTCCATATTCCATCAGCTGTAAGATTTCCAGATTTTTAAGGCAGCTTTATGCCCCATAACAAGTATATTTCAGTAGTGTTTTCCTGGTTTTTTAAGACTTCTGATATCTGAAATGATTCAAATTAATGTTTAAAATATATATCAAAATGGAAGCTTTTTCTTTCAGCCACTTCAACAAATTAAGAAACTTGAAAAGGCATAGATGAAAACTGAGCCCTTGCAAAGTCAATAGCAAAATTCAAACTGACTTCAACAGGCCCAGGATTTCATCCATAATTTCTTATTATTTCAGAGAAAGGGAAGTGAAATGTTTATATAATATAACAATTTCCAAAAAGATACATACATATTTTAACAGAACCAAGGCCAAACAAAAACAAAACCCCTCACATACTATACATGCCTGTGGTTCAAATAATAGATTCTATCCTCTTTTTTTGTTGGTCTGACTTCGACTGACATTTGAATTCTAACTTATTATAATAAGATTTTTAAATGTAACTGCAAATAAAAATCTCATTTGAAAACTGGGTTGTGCTGCTGATATCCTTATTTGGTGAATTAAAGTCATACAGTGGAGGGGGAAAAAAGCTGCATGAGAGAATGTAAGTCATACAAATATGGACTGCAAAAAATTTAGAAAAATATTTATTCTCTGAAGGAATGAAAACAGAGCACTAAAAATAAACAGCAGAAGTCAGCTTCCTTTTCTGTAACAGTCTGCTTTTTATTACTGAGGTGGTAATTATTAGGGTGAAATGCACTTTTATAATCAAGTCCCATTTTTAAGTTACATATACTTTTAAGACTGTATTTTGGATTTAAGTTCTTCATGTTGGGAATAAACATGAAGGTGATTTTTTCTGGTGAGTTTGGAACAGTGGAGCCAGAACATCTGCCATTTTATGTAGGTCCTTCCCCCACAAAGGAAGAGACCACTCTACCACCTGGAAGAGGAGATTTCAACACAGTTCTCAGCCTGAGCATTCAGGACAGATTTTACTCCCTTAAAAAACAACAACAACAACAACATGCAAAGGTGTGGTGCTGTGTAAATGCATACTCCTATTTAGCTGAAGAATTGCACAATGGAATAAACTGAAAGCCTGTATAAGACAGAACATCTGGGTTTCAAATTATGGCTTCAAATGATCATAAGTAGCTCTGGATCCATTACACACCTCAGCCTTCTGTCCTTCTCCTGGATTACCCTATCATCTGTGTCTGAATATGCAATCATTACTTCACTAGATTCCTAGAGCAGGAAGGGCAGTCTCCAGGACAAAATACTGGATTGGACTCAGGAAACCTGGGTTTGGGTTCATAGTTCAGCTACAGACTTTTAGTGTATTGGGGAAAGTAATTTTATGTTTGCCTCAGTTACTCTCCAGTAAAACAGGTATACTTTGCCATCTCACAGATGTGTTGTAAGAGTAAAATACATTCATGATTTTGAGCTGCTTATAATACTGTGAAGCAGAAGGACATGTACGCAGCACATGTGTAAGTAGCACAAAACCTGCATGTTTAGGAGTGCACTGACAGCAGGGAAAATTAATTTGGGAGTATAGGTTTTGGAACAAATAGAAAGGCCACCAGATTTAATGGGCATTTTCTTATATCATCTTAAAGGACTTAAGGGATCAGGGGAGACGGTAGTCTTACCTGTTATTTCCTTTACAAACTGTGTGCTAGTTAAGTAAATACAAAGGCACATTTCTATATCCTATTTTAAAAAGAACCAAAAGTAGAAAGACAAACACAGACAATTACATAAAAGCAACAGAAAAAGTAACAGCAATATGTTGTGCCAATCAAGTCATGGGACTACTTGCTAATTCCAGAAAGGCTGGCAGAATAGCTATAATAAATAGCTATGTTTTAAAATAGCACAAATAGAAAAACAATCACAGGTTAGTCAGTGACTCAGAACCCCTCTTCATGATGGATGTGCATTTTCCTTTCATTATGTGAATTAAGAATGAAGGACCAAATTATCTGAGGTAAGCAGGTAAACTCCCATTAAAGCCAATGGGAATTGCACCTGCTCATTCCAGGTCTGAAATTGGACCAAAGGGCCAACCTACTAGCATAAGAGTCTTTTTTTGTCTCAGCTTTATTGTTACAACATAAGCCCCAGTCAGGTAATGAGCTCTGCAGGGGTCCCTTTGTACATGGAGGCTAAAACCAAAGTATGATATTTTATTAGGGGTTGCTGTGCTAAGATACCACATTTTGAGTGACAGATAAAACTGAACTAATATTTGTTACTGAAAAATGCCCACAATGCTTTTTATAAAAGGTAAACGTGTTACGCAAAATATGCTGGACATATTTCAGATAGACCAAAAGCAGTTACCTATCTGAATTCCCTCTGAAAGTGCAACAGGATATGGTATTGTTTGCTCCTAAACTACTATAGCACAGCTGTGTGCTATTAAAAAGGGGTGATTGCAGTGTGGTGGAAGACAGGCAATTCATATACACTGTGACCAATCATGTAGTTAAAAATGTATAAAAAACATTTGGATGAAAAATGTTCTATAAATGTAAAACAGTCCTCTTAGTATTACAATCACAGTGAGATAGCTGAAATAGCATTAGTGCGTGTGTTCCTTAAAGTAAAATAAAGACAAAGAAGAACAATGCAGTGCAAACATTGAAAACAGACAGTGCATTGGCCACAAATAGTAGAAAAGAACTCAGAGGCACCCCATAGGAGGTCCAATTACTTTTTTTAAATGAACTAGTTTTTAAATTTACACATGGTTTGGTATAACAGCCACGTTTGACTTCCTTGTCCTCAAATACAATATACCTTTCAAATATTAAATAATTGTTCTTATCTGCTTTAAATGTGAATTTCTCAAGTATTGTGTGAGATTTTAATTTAATATAGTATTAATATGAAGTTCTGAAATTAAAACCATTAAACACATAGGACAAGCCCAAGCAATTATGGACAAACAGCACTAACATTTTAACAACTGGTCTTTCACAGTCCTCTTTGACTGCACAACCAAATATCTAATAAAAGATTTTCTAAACCGATTAGTAACCAAATATTAATCAATCAGTTCAGAGTAAAATATTAAGATGAGATTTTATTCTACCTGGGATGTCAAGCTGTACAGGCTGTACGAGGTCTGGTTGCTGCATTGGATTCCCGAAGTACACAAACCATTCCTTTACTACAGGATAAGCTCCACAGCTGTCTAAAGAACAAACAATTTGATCAATAAATCAAGTACAAATGTTGATGCTCACATAAGAGTTGAGAAGAGTGGTGGGAGAGGATTGCTAAAGCATTAGTAATCACAACATTTTACAATATCTGATCAATTGTAAATAGAAGAAACAGAGCATCTTTTCACAAGTGATCGGGTTTAGTTATACACTATGACAAGAGTTTAGAGTTGGAACTGCAACTGATGTTTCAGGGGAAGAGTCTCAGCTGTTAGCTTTTTGTGTCCTTCTCATCCTGGATTGCCCTTTGGTATAACTTAGCCAGCCTGGGAACCTATGTTATGCCAGCCTCTTGAGGCTACCTGATTGGGCTGAACAGAGCCACAAACTCCAGCTGTGCCCCTAAAATTTCACTGCCTGCTCCCAGCTTTGACCCTGACAGACATGCTATGTCAGGGCTTGAAAGGGATCATTACAGGGCAGCCCATACTAGAAATGTAAAAGGATCAACAGTTAACAGGAAAGCATTAGGCATAATGTTAACCAATCCTTAATCATTAACCCTGGCCAACCGCACCAGGCCAGCAGCACACCGGTCCTGGTTTTGTCGGTGGGCCAGGCCAGCAGCACTCCAGCCTTGGCCCCCGAGCACTGGTGGGACCCCAACCCTGGGAGCCCCACACCAGCCCACAGGAGGGATCCTAGCCTCGGACGCATCCAGCCAGAGTGGCCACTATTATCCAACTCATATTGAAATCTTATGGGCATGCTGGGTACTTAATTCCCTCAGGATCCTTTGAAAAATCCTAGTTTAAAGGCAAATTATTTGTGAGGAGAAGGGGGAAATGGCCATTTGACATCTTCAAATGATGCTGCATAAAGGAGTGAAAATTATCCTGGCCTCCCAAAAATAAAGGTTTTTTTACTGCTTATTTGTACCTTAGTACAGTATTGGGAATGTCTGTGCTTTCCTGATGTTGTTAGAGGTCCCAGAAGCTTCTTTGTAACACACAATCTTACATATTTAACTAGATTTACTGGTTACTACCCCCCTCATATGAAAATACTTGTAACCATGTTTGCCCTAAATTTATTTAAATATTTTCATTTGCTATTTTCATGTTCTAACTACTTAATTTTTTAAAAAAAATACAATAATTAAGTATTCTGAAATGTATCCTAATTCTATCTGGAGTATTCAGCACATCATCTTCATGTTGTAAGTTGATTTATAGAAACTTTTCCAGATCACCTCCCTATCACTGCAAAAATACTGTAATCATCATTATTCCCCATACATGGTGCTCTCCTTTTTGGTCCAAAATTTGCTTAAATAACATTTCTCTCACACAGTTTTGTGGAGCATGCCCTGAATTTTCACTTCTGTGTTCCAATATGCAATATGAAGAAAACAGATTTGTCAATCTTCAAGTAGATACTAGGGGACAGGAAAAAAAATCTATATGAAAAAGTACCTTGAAATTGTATAGCAACTGAATTGCTAAACAGTCTAACATCCTGTTTTGGAATAATAATGTTTGAGTGATAATCCTTCATTTACTGGAATGTTCAATTATTCTATTGTCACTTTTGGAAAAAAAGTTCTGAAATTTGTATTTCCTTAAAAAAAAAAAAAAAAGCAAGTCAGGAAACTTAAAAACTGAGGTGCTGGGTTAAAAAAGTTACAATTGAGACTATGATGTGCCATCAGGTTCTAAGTTTTGGTGAAATAAAGTACTTTTACATTGATCATTTTTCTTATATTCACGCTACTAGAACATTAACATACCAAAAGGGAGAGGGTAATCATAGTAAACCTTTCATTAAATATTACATATATTTTTACAAAAACTTAACATCTTGGTGATGACAATCCATTAATAATATAAATACGCTATTCAAATGAAGTAGCCAAACACAGACAAACCACTCTTAAAACTATGATTCTACACAACTGACAACATATAAATGAAACAAAAGCTGGACAATGATGTAAATGCCAAATTCATTTCTCCTCCCCCCAGCCCCAATACTGGAAACAAGGATCCAGATTGTCAACTGCTCAGGTTGTACAAATTAGACTGAAATTTACCTCTGCCCACCAACAAGACATTTCTATTACCTTTATTCACCTCTATTACATATCCTAGCAAAACATTGATGACAAATCCCATGGTGCCAGGAAGTGTCTCATTCAAAGAAATATATTTTAAATTATTTACTATTCAAAGATCAAAATGTAACACCTTAGTGACATTTGAAAGGAAAGGGAGAAAGACACCCTACTGATTTCTCCTTGATCAAGTAAAACATCCCTTAAAGTGTGCTATATGATTCCAAAATATACCAAGTTAAGAATTAATAAAGAGATTTTCATGGAAGATCTCAATGTGAAGACTGAATGACCTCACATTCACCTCAAAATCTTACACCATAATCTTAAATGCCTGTACCTTCAATCCTGAAGGATCCCATTACATTGCTAACTCCCTTAGAAACTTCTGATAATCCCTAGCTAAATTTTCAAAGCACGTCTGTACTGTATGTACAAAATCACCACCTGATCCAGACACATCTGGAGTGGAAAAGGGCAGCTATATTTTTTCTAAATGATCTGTGAATTACTGTTGCCTATTAGTATAAAGGAAGTTCCAAACTGAACAGGAACCCTATGTGCAACATAAAAAAAATTATGTAAGGTATACTCCACATCTGTAAACACTTCCGCCCTACTGAATGCACAATGGTGACAACTAGTATAGAATCCTCCAAACGGGATTTTTTTGGCAGTGACAAAGTGCGGGTCAGTATGGCAGGCATTTACTTCATCCCTTTGCTATGCACCAACAATCATAGTTGAACTGTGACAATGGATTATGAAGTGCCATCTGAAGAAGTGGGCTGCGCCCACGAAAGCTCATACCACCATCTACATATTTTGTTAGTCTTTAAGGTGCTCCTAGACTATTTGTTGTTTTTTAAGTTTTTCCTGTTAAGAACTAACTCAGTTACCCCTCTGAAGCTACTGGATTTATGACTAAGGCTAAATTTTTGTCAAGGTTATTTTTAGTAAACGTCATGGACAGGTTGTCTTCTTTCGAATGTTGTATTCAACACTGTATTTCTTTGTCAAAGTTGGACGTCTAAACTCTCCAGCTAGCGAGCAGTGTCGGTGGTTAGATTGTGGATTTTAAATTTAGATTGTAAATTTTTGTGTTGGACATTCCACAACAATGTGGTGCATAGTTTGCAGACTGCCACAATAACAAAGTGGAGATGGCAACAATGGACAGGTCATGGGCAATAAAATAAATTCATAGAAGCCTGTCCGTGATTTTCACTAAGGGCTCCGGGGCCCTCCTCTGACCCCCACATTCCCCCCTGCAAGTGGAAGCTCCAGCGCCAGGGCACAAAATGTGTCAAGGTCAGTGGAAGTCAAGGAATCAGAGAGGTGACATAATTGTAGTACTATTTATGACTTATTACAATAATTTGCAACCCTCCAGCTTCCTCTTTTTGTCCTATGACTGCAGAGGTATGAACGGGTCACTCTACCTTGAATGGTCCCTTACAATGTGTGATTACTGCTTATGCTAAACAATCTGTTCCACCTTGCATTTTTGAGAGACTGTAATAGTATAGTCAACTAAACAATCAACCGATATGCAGGTGTTTATTGCTTATCGACATTATCGACTTCAGGCAACACTCCCCTCTCCCTCCCGTAAATTTTTTAGCAGGCTGGCTGACAGGCTGATCCAGTCCCAGCTTGTGCCGGGACCCCGCATCAACTCAGCGCTGGCTCTTAGTGCTTGTAGTGCAGAGCCACAGCAGGGGTTGATGCAGGGTCCCAGCACAAGCCAGGACTGAGCCAGCCCATCCACACACCGGCTCGTAGTGCTGGGACCTGGCATCAACCCCGGCTCTGGCTCTGCACTAAGAGCCAGCGCACAGGCAAGCTGCGGCATCAACCCCCATGATGGCTCTTAGTGCTTGTAGTGCAGAGCAGCAGCGGGAGTCATTGCCGGACCTGGCAGGAGCCAGGATTGAGTGGTAGCAAATGCTTATCAATTGTGTAGTCAACAAAATTTGTCAGCTACATGATTAACGAATTATACACTTCTTAAGAGCCCTATTGGAAACACCATTCCCAGGCTGAAGAAAAATGTATGGTTCAAAAGCTTTTCCCTCTCACCAACAGAAGTTACTCCAATTAAAAAATAACCTCACCCACTTTGTCTCTTAAATAATTAAAATATATAATCCAATTTGTATGTGCTAAGACTACTTGTCTCTAACACTGCATGCACAGTGAATTCAGGGACACTTACCTTTTCTGGACTCCAGTAAAACAGAATAAATGTGTTGCCGAACCGGACGGTAAATAAGAGCCTGTCCAGGAAGTTCTGTATCAAATTCATCTTCCAATGTATTGCTGCATTCCACTTCTCCTTTACTTAGGACATTGTACACCATATAATTTTCAGCCCTGATGTGCTGTTCTTTAGCTAGCTGTTCAAATGGGATAAAAATAATTGATTTTCTATTTTAAAATTAACAAAAAGGGGCAACGTAAATATTTCCTCTGATCTAAGTGAAAAAATGCCAATGAAACAACTGATTTTTAAATGATCAGAATCCAGTTCTGCTTCAAAGACTAGTGATTTAATAAAATCTCACTGGCATGTCATTTTTGTGGAGAGGAAGAGTCCCTGGGAACCCTGTCATTCTCTTCCTATTATCATTCCACCATTCTCTTTTGCTACCAATAACTCCCAGAAGAGAAAAAGCAGTGCTTCTGTCAGCTGAGGCCTTGTCTTAATTGCTTAAAAAATGGTGTGTTTTTTAACTTGGTGTAGCTCGTGCATGTTAGCTATTTCAAGATAAAAAAATATAGTGGCTGGAGACAAAGCCCTTTAGTTTTACTGTACAATGCAGTAAACTGAGTGAGGGCAGGCACAGGCAAGGGTAAAGTGCTGACCTAACCATTTTTAGCAAAGATGACAAGGCCTAAAGATGGTCACTGGAAAGCAACGTATTTCAAGGGCCAAACTTATTTCTCCAACACTTACAGTCTACAAGCCTAGGAGCTCAGGAGCCCGCGCTTGGAAGCAAGCAATGCTAGACGAGGTGACCAGCACGGCTTTTTTTTTTTCTGTCCAAAAAATCATTCGCGATTTTCCTCCGATAGGTACACTAAGAAAATAGCTATGTATATTACAAGGCCATAGACACTATAGTGAAACTTTTTATACAGCATCTTTCATCCTGAAGGATCCACATACAAAGACTGAAAAGGACACACACTGGCAACCAATTAGTGCACAGCACACTGCACGACTACAGGGAGTGGGGAGGGAAATTTGTAGATAAACATGAAAGGACATCAAAATCTTTATTTTCAAAACAAAGTAAGCAGGACTTCAGTTTATTAATTCAACTCAATGAATCAATAAATGAAGGAGACTTGTATCTTAGGCTTTCTATAGTACTCATTGCTTTAGCAGTGTTGATGGCTGCTGCAGATGAGGTACTTATAGCTATTTTACCAAACTTAGAGCCTCAATGAAATAATAAATGTTATTCCAATAGCCCATTTTAGATGCATCAAATTCTAATCTAATTTTGTAGCAAGATACACCACACTATAATGCTTCATTTTATTTTAGACATATAGCTTACAAAGGCATGAATTCACAAACTTTGTGAAATTACAGATTTGGTTGCCACAAATGTACCACAAATCCATGATTTACAGTAACTTGAAATGTAAAATCACAAGCTGAGCCCATACTGACCACACATACAAGTATGATTGACATGAAAGCTATGTCGAGACTATGGGGAAGGTTCGAAAAAGTATAGGCAAATTCCTGGTGAATTTGCATATCTTCTTCTGATCTCACTTTTAAAAGTGAAAGTAGTCTAGACGTGTTTTTTTCCGGCAACCCCTTCTTTGAAAAGCCAAGTAAACCTCATTTTTTAGAGGAAAAGCAGCTTTTCAAAAAAGGGGGGGTTGCTGGGAAAAAAACAACAACACACATCTAGACTACTTTCACTTTCGAAAGCTTTGCTTTCCCATGGAATTTGCATATCCTCTTTCAAATCTTCCCTGTAGTCTAGATGAGCCGTGAATCTTGAAAAACATTTCTACTGTAAACAAACAGGCAGGCAACTAGAGATGCAGACTTTTCAAGACAAGCAGTACTGCAAGCCAGCATATCCAAGGCTGAAACAGAGGTCAAGTATGTATGTGGACTTGTTTGCATTTAAGTTAGAGAGCTGTATATGTCTTCCAAAATGTGAACTGTTGTTTGCTTTGTCAATGCGTAAAAGAAATTGTACATCTACTAATTAGACTAAGTTTTTTGGGTCAGGGAAATCTTTACTTAGGGTTTATAAAGAAAAAAGTAGAACAGGGCCAAAATCTTAATTGGACCTTCCGGATAGCTTTCATTAATTGACTGATTTTATTACACGAATACGTCATCTTAGAAAACTGCATTCTTTCAGATTAAAGATCAAATCAAGCTAATGAACATCATGACCTCAAGGTCCCTTCCTATCCTACATTCCATAAGAGAAGGGATAGTAACCTTGATGTCCTGGGTAGAGCCTTGTGTCGGCTCTGTATCCGTATCCACGGATACAGATAAATACAGACATAAAGCAGATATCTGCAGATTTGCAGAGCTCTAGTCCTGGGCATATTCCAAAGAGTATGTTTACGTGTACAGTGCAACAGAGGCACAACTGTATCAATGCAGCTGTGTTGCTGTATGCATCTGGTGAAGAAATGCTGACGGAAACTCTCCCCTTGGCATAAAAAAACACCTTTGCAAGTGGGAAAGCGCGTCTCTCACCCACACAAATGTTTATGTCGGTGTAAGCTATGTTGCTTAAGGGGGTGAAAATCACACTCATGAGGAATGTGTTGTTGTCATAGGCTGTAGTGCAGATATAGCTCTAGATAAGTACATTTTTCCTATCTACATTTCCCTCGCATATTCAATCAGAAACAATATTCTTCTTCATTTTGGCCTCACAACTTTAACAATCAGTTATGCGTGGATATGGATGTTTAAACAGTTGCTATATTTTATCATAGTGATGGTTACATTTTAGAGATGGACTAAGTGCACACTGTGTAGTTTTTATTGTAATTTTTAAGCTGGAAGCTTTTGGAACAGAAATAACAAATATAAAATAAACTTTCAAATTATACTCAATACAGAGTTGATGATTATTTTTACAAAATAATCAAGATAACTAAGAGGAGGAAAGAAAGCTCCTATGTTCAAAGCTTCTGGATACCTAACAAAATATGGCTCTTAATTACACACAATTTTATAAGGGCATTTTCTTGAATTCTCAAAGTTTCTCTTAATAAACTCATGGATTTAACACTGTCACGTAAACTAAAAGTCTCACAAAATATATTAGAGAATTAACAAATTTCTGTGTTTCTAGTTATCAAAACTTAGTTCATTCAAGGAAAATGACTATTCTTAGCTTGAGTCTAAGTACCCATATCAGTAAAACTCCCAACCCTTTCAGGATCAGCCATAGCATTAGCTTAGGAAAAGAATATTTTGCTCAGGAAAAAAAAACACTAAAATATATATCACGCACATATTCACTTATCAATTGTCAGTAAATGTTTATAGGAATAAAGTGATGGCAAAGCTATAAGAGGTGAGATACCTGAAAGATGTCCTGATCTGCACATGTGGCTATTTCTTGCTTGACCAGATGCATTTGAGAATCATTGGGAGGAAGCCATGGAGACTGTTGGCCAGGCAAGAGATAGGATTCCACTCCCCTGTAAAGTAATTTGTCTGATGCCAAAGGAAGCATTTCTTTCAAGTCTTTCAGGCTATCATATGAGCATGGAAGTTTTGATATGTAATTTGCTACAGCTAGAATTATGTTTGTCTTTTTATCATAGTTCTGGCTCTTTGGAGGACATGAAGCTACACATTTCTGCCAGAAACCCTCCAAAATGTCTTCTGGAAGTATATCATTCCCAAGAAGGCAAGCAAAAAGAGGAAGGTCCATTATGTTGAGGCCTAATGTGTGGCAGAGGATCTCTCTGGAGTACATAACAGTAACCATCCTATCCAAGCAGAGCTTACTAATGGAAAAATAGGGAGAAGTGTTATAGATTAGGTAGTCAGTATCTTGTCCAAGAATTCCCATGCAATTATTCTGCAGTCCAAAAGAAGCCACTTCATAATCTGCTTCTTGCAATGAACATATCGTTTCTTGACCAAGTGACTTTAAGGCAAAGCGTGTAAAAGTTGCCAATCCTGAAGGAATAAAGAACATCCCTCTCCCTGGTTGTTGTCTATTAGATTTGAGGAACTGAAAGATTCTGGTTATTTCTTTGTTGTTCTTCAATCTTCGTTTGACCCACTCATTTCTCTTTTTCTGCTCTACCACACCATCAAAATAGAACACCAGCTTGATACCAGCTGCCATAAAAGTTTTAATAAAATGCTGCAAGTTAGCGAGGTACTCTTGCCACTGGCCACCACAGACCCAGGATTCTGAGGTGTACCACTGTCGAATACAACCCATAGCATCTACCACAATTACAGGAGGAGAGTCAGGATGATCGATGTGATGTTTTTCTGCCATTTCTTTAAGATTTACCATCGTACATGCATTAGGACATGCATTTGCCACAAACCACTGCAAACCTTTCACGCCCATAGTTGATCTCTTTTTAAGACAAATTTTCTCAGCAATCTGAAAAAGGAAAAGGAAAACAAATTCTAAATCACAGTATTAACAGAAGCAATGTTCAACTGTTAGGCAAGGATACCAAGAGTCCAAAGAAAGAACAGGATTCTGTTTCTAGTTTTGCTAATGAGTCCTTTTCTATTTTAGGTTTTAATGCTCTAAACTTGTTTTTCCCATCTCTAAACTGGGCAACCAAACCTACCTTTGTGATGCACTTTGCCTTCCATCTCTAGTTCTCACTATAATTATGCTAAAAATATTACTGAAAAAAAATCAAGATGAACAAAGCTCAAATAAACAGATTCCTTTGAATACAAAATCATGAAGTTTAATTTAAAAATTCAGTGCTTATTTATTAGGATTCATGCAGATATGATTAAAAAGTATGCAGCTTTTCCTTTTCCAAGGGGTTTTACAACATACAGAATACTAGCTTGACTTTCAGAGGCTCTTAGCTCCCACAATTTCAACTGAAGTCAGTGGAAACAGGGGCTAAAAACTATAGAATCAGCCCAGAGCTTTGATCTTAGAAATGTAAAATCCTGTTTAATCAGTTAACTGGTTAAATGTTATACTGAACTGGTTAACCACTTAAAATGAGTGGGTGGGGAGCTGCTCCTTTCCTCCTCCTCATTATGGTGGGCCCTGCCAGGCTGCAGCAGCCCCTGCCAGTTAAACATAACTGGTAAGTATCGCCTGGAAAGGGTGATGCTTACTGGTTAACCATTCACATCCCTATTTGACCTTGCAACTGGATCCATGCAGGCAGACCTCCATGCCTACCTGAAGCTTCAGTATCATCAATGGTCCATCCTCACGAATCCGACTGCAATACCGAGATTCATATTTCTGCATACTATTAGCTGTTTCAATTGTATTTTGATTTTACAATCTTATGCATTTTACTACAGGTTGAACCTCCCTAAACCGGGACTTTCTGGTCCGGCAACATCCATGGTCCGATAAGGCCACAGATGTTGCTGGACCAAAGAGCCCCAGGAGCGGGAGCCAGCCGGGAGAACACAGGGTCTGCAGGGTCCCAGCTGGGTCAGCAGTGGCTAGGCAGGGGAACCCCAGTGCCAGCGGGGCCAGACATCATCAGGGAGCTCCCGCTCTAGGTGAAAAACCCCCAATGTCAATGGGGTCTGGTGTCTGGAGAGCCCCTGGCAGCGGGGCTAGGGAACCCCGGGAACTGCCCTGCGGCAGTGGGGTTCATATGGCCAGGCCGCCCTGACCAGGGAAACCCCTGGTGACAGTGGGGCCATGCAGTGTCTCAGGAGATCTGGCTGAGGAACCCCGATGGCAGGACCAGGCAGAGGCTGGGGAGTCTAGGCCCTAGCAGGGGAATCTCCAGTAGCAACGGGGATGGCTTGGCAGCCCTAAGCAAAAAACCCCAGGAACTCCTGGTTACAGTAGGGACAGTGGTGGCTGGGTGGCCTGGGGCTGGGAAACCCCAAGGAACCCTCTTAGGTAGCAGGGCTGGCAGTGGCCAGGTGGCCCTGGCTGGGGACCCCCTGGGAACTACCAGCACTACAGCAGCCAGGGGGTGGGGGAGGAGGAGCACAGAAGAGCAGGGAGCCCCAGGGAGAGGAGCCAGCAGCGGAGCAGCCAACAGGGGAGCAATGACCTCTCCCCTGGTCCAGCGAACTCCCTAGTCCGAGATGGCTCAGCTCCCGAGGGTGCCAGACCAGGGAGGTCCAACCTATATAATGTAGTTTAAAGACTCAAAAGCTAAAAATTCAGAACTTTTAAATAATTAAGTCTCTATATGCGGTAAATTTATAACAACTTGACCATTAAAAGGATTAACACTTTAAAGTGGTCACTATAATGCATGTTAATTTTGAATCAACTAATCTGAATGGAAAAAAATTATACATATGGACTACAATCTTAATACAAGGAAAGGACGAAATCAGATTTTTCTGTATTAAAAAAAATTGCCAAACAGAAATATGGCTTTCCCCCCATAATTTTCTGTGTTAAAAACATGCAAAGAAACCCGGTTTATATATTGCACAAACAAATATGGGAACAGGGTTAAACTTAAAAACTTTCAACCAACTCATTTTTGTTTATAGAAATTCTTGCTCATATTAAATTATATACATAGCTTTAATGATAGCAGCCTTTTTCTAGTAATGCAAACGCTTTTTATTTCAAACGGACTTTCTACCAAATACTGTTGGTGACAATACAGAATTGTTATGCAGCAAGACAAGTTCATTTTTCCTTTTCCTTTGACTTTATTCGAAAATTGTTTTCTCTTTTCTCTCACACTGAGGAAATTAACTACATGTTTTAATTAAGCAGGTACAAGCATTCCTGTCTTTCACACTGCTGATCTCTCACATTTTGAATTACAAACTACCTCAGGAGCATATAAAAAAAGAAACTGAATACGAAAAGTATCATGAATTTACAACTGTGAAAGGTGCCTATAAGTCTTTCTTCCTCAGAGTTGTAACACCCTTCACATTCAGTTTTCAAACACCCTCTTCGGTATGAAGTGAGATAAAATGTTTAAAGCAATCTAGAACTGCACTGTTAATATTACCTTTTGTAAAAACAGAAATATTTATCCTCATCACTACTGCACAGATGTACAAAATACAGTATTGATTTCCCAAGCACTAGGGCCACATGAGTATCCTTCAAATTCCAGCTGTTTGTGTCAAACAGAAGTTTTCACTAGCAGATGCATCTGTGATCATGAGAGGAGTCACACATTTCTTTAGTTTGATTACTGGTGTATGCAATCACACCATAAAGAGTTCCTTAAAAGGAAGTTAGCACATTTCCATGGAGTATTGGCAAGAACTAGACCTGTGACCAAAGGGAATCCCTCCACCACCCATTAGCGGTGTATGCAATCACACCAAGTGATGTAGTAAGGTCTTTGCACATGTAGTAAGTACACTGCTTCTGGGTTTTTGAAAGAAGTCCATATTATTTCTGCAGAAATGAACTGGGTTCAAGCAACAGGAAAAGGAGACACTCTTCCAGGTTCTGAAGGAAGAAACTACTGCGTTAAATAATTTAGAAGCAGAGCTACTGAAAAGTAGCAAACATTCTCCTGCATTCATAGCTATGTCAATATCTGAAACATTCACTCAACCAACAACTACGGCCAATCTACGCTAGGAACATTTTCAAAAAACTTCCCAATATTGCCAGTACTAGTAACATCAGAAACATCAACAACAGTAACGGAAAGTAATTCTCAATGGTTCACAGTCATGCTGGAAGGGCATAACAAGTGGGGTTCTGCAGGGATCAGTTTTGGGACTAGTTCTGTTCAACAATGTAGATAATCGCATAGGGTATGTCTACACTGCCACCCTAGTTCGAACTAGGGTGGCTAATGTAGGCATTCGAACTTGCATATGAAGCCCGGGATTTAAATATCCTGGGCTTCTTTTGCATGTTCCCGGGCGGGTGCCATTTTTAAATGCCCTCAGTTCGACCTACCTGCCCGCGGCTACACGCGACACAGACTAGGGAGTTCGAATTAAAGCTCCTAATTCGAACTACCGTTAAACCTCTTTGCAGGAGGAATAACGGTAGTTCGAATTAGGAGCTTTAATTCGAACTCCCTAGTCTGTGTCGCGTGTAGCCGCGGGCAGGTAGGTCGAACTGAGGGCATTTAAAAATGGCACCCGCCCGGGAACATGCAAAAGAAGCCCAGGATATTTAAATCCCGGGCTTCATTTGCAAGTTTGAATGCCTACATTAGCCACCCTAGTTCGAACTAGGGGGGCAGTGTAGACATACCCATAGAGAATACACTTATAAAGTTTGTGGATGATACCAAGCTCGGTGGGGTAGCAAGTGCTTTGGAGGATAGGATTATAAATCAAAATGATCTGGACAAACTGGAGAAATGGTCTGAAGTAAACAGAATGAAGGTCGATAAGGACAAATGCAAAGTACTCCACTTAGGAAGGAACAATCAGTTGCACATATCTAAAAGAAGAAATGACGGTCCAGGAAAGAGTACTGAAGAAAAGGATCTAACGGTCGTAGCGGACCACAAGCTAAATATGAGTCAACAGTACGACGCATTCGCTTTTTTATTTTTGGTGCAACAGTCATTCTGGGATGCATTAGAGATGGTAAAAATGTGGTTAATCTCGAAATATATCCAGGATGATCTAGCTGGTATTTGGTCTGCTGTGAGGGCAGGGGAATGGACTGGATGACCTCTCAATGTCCCTTCCAGGGCTAGTATTCTATGAATAACAGCAACACTGGGGAACCCAGCATAGGCAAACTGCTGGCTGCGATCAGCATTTTCATCACTATCCTTTATCCATATGAAAATCAGATGTAATCAACACAATGCTACTTTTTGTGCACTAATTTCTTTTTAACCACACAACTACAGGCAGAGCAATAGCAGCAGTACAAGCTTCCTATACTGGCCCTCCTCTCCAACAGGCCTTAACCATGACTTAACAGATCACTTCTAGGAGATACAATTCAGTTTCTAGGTGCATCACTATCCTTTATCCATATGAAAATCAGATGTAATCAACACAATGCTACTTTTTGTGCACTAATTTCTTTTTAACCACACAACTACAGGCAGAGCAATAGCAGCAGTACAAGCTTCCTATACTGGCCCTCCTCTCCAACAGGCCTTAACCATGACTTAACAGATCACTTCTAGGAGATACAATTCAGTTTCTAGGTG